ATGAAAAAAGACCCCATAATTATAGTTTAACTTAACATGCCAGTAGAACAACAAATGCCACACGTATAGTTTAGTCATATGGTTTGGCTCAACAACTAATTTAATTCAGCGAGTCTACGCCCCTGAATTTAACTTTCCTCCCGCGGAATGGCAACACTGCCAGGTAAATGCAGTGATGTATTCAGTATTTAGGAACTAAATTTCCCGTTCGAGCCCGTGTCTTCCGACACGGTGACAAAAAGCTTAATTAATTAATTGTACTGTACTTATTTATTTATTTATTTATCTATATCAACAACGGGGAAAATACGACAAACTCCATAATTAAAAATGCATTCCTTCCTATCCTCCAATTCAAATGATAATAGACCTGCTGTAAGCATTTTGTTTACATCCACCGTTTTTACAGCTTTCTCCATTCCAAATTTACATTGTAGTAATAATCAATTAAACACTAAACGGTACGATGTTATTTCTTGCCTAAATTAGATATTTTTGTCAAGTAAGAAGGCTCCTACCAAAATAAAAACTTGTTTTATCCTACAAATTGAACAAAGCAAACTCAAAGTTTCAGAAATATTTTGATCAAATAATTTTCCTCATAAACAAACGCATCATGTGTACGTATTCTAAGTTCATTTAAGCGTTTCTTTACTATGACATTTCTGTTACTTTATTAATTATATGAAATTTTAAAACAATATTTTAAGCCTTCATTTGAATTTTACACTCACAGATGTGTAGTTTTGATTCCTCTCTTGGGTTGTCGGCCCTCCCTAAGTCAACTAAGTAAACTAGGCCTAATTAAGTCTCCTAAGTTTTATACCATTTCTTTATTCACAGTTAGTGTGAAAAATTGGTTTAAGCAATGTCCATGTCACTTATAACGTAGTGACAATAATTTAATAACAACTTAGGCCTATTCATTACTTGATTTTCATTCATTGCTTGATATACCAGTTTCTTTGTTTTGGTTTAACGGTTTAACCTAAAAAATTGGACAGGTATTAACACAGTGATCGATCGCATTACTGCCAAAAACGTTCATATTCAAAGATATATTAAGGTACGTTTTGCTTGGAGCGACAGGTGCGACGGTCGCGCAGCGACTGTCGCCGAGCGGCAGTCGCGGGATGGTAGACTGTTTTGCTTGAAGCGACAACTTCTTTGGCGTCACGAGACGTGGTACCGTCAGTGCACCTAACCTCAAAAGTGCGCACTAAGTATAAAGTCACTAAATAAAATCGATAAATTCACTTAGTAAAACAGGTAAAACTTAACAAATAAAGTATTCCTTATAGGCCTAGTTATTTGTTATAAAAAACATTCCAAAACTGCCATGTCACAAGCCAAAATGTAATAAAATTACTCAATTTCTCCGTAAATTGCAGTACACAAGTATAACTTGAATTTGGAAATCAGTGTTATAAACAACCTCCTCACAGAGTGAAAATTATATTTTATTGATTGTATTGTAAATGAAAAAAATACTAATTACATTATATACTCCATTATTTGAATAACCACATTACTTTAATAATTGGCATTTTATATATTTAAATATGACACGCCTGACTTTCTCACGCGTCATTGGATTTCTCACCCCCAAAATAGGGTAGAAAACTACATCACAACCCCTCATACATCCCAGAACACGTATTTTATACCCACTCCCCAGATCCATATACCCCCACCCTAAATCGAAAACTATAGATGATGGAGGGACGGGGTTTGCGCCATTGAATTTCTCGACCCCAAAATAGGGTAAAAAACTACATCACAACCCCTCATACATCCCAGAACACGTATTTTATACCCACTCCCCAGATCCATATACCCCCACCCTAGATCGAAAACTATAAATGATGGAGGGATGGGGTTTGCGCCATTGACTTTCTCACCCCCAAAATAGGGTAAAAAACTATATCACAACCCCTCATACATCCCAGAACACGTATTTTATACCAACTCCCCAGATCCATATACCCCCACCCTAAGTCGAAAACTATAGATGATGGAGGGACGGGGTTTGCGCCATTGAATTTCTCACCCCCAAAATAGGGTAAAAAACTATATCACAACCCCTCATACCCTCCCGAACACGTATTTTATACCCACTCCCCAGATCCATATACCCCCACCCTAGTTCGAAAACTATAAATGTTGGAGGGATGGGGTTTGCGCCATTGACTTTCTCACCCCCAAAATAGGGTAAAAAACGATATCACAACCCCTCATACCCTCCCGAACACGTATTTTATACCCACTCCCCAGATCCATATACCCCCACCCTAGATCGAAAACTATAAATGTTGGAAGGACGGGGTTTGCGCCATTGACTTTCTCACCCCCAAAATAGGGTAGAAACATATATCACAACCCCTCATACCCCCCCGAACACGTATTTTATACCCACTCCCCAGATCCATATACCCCCACCCTAGATCGAAAACTATAAATGTTGGAAGGACGGGGTTTGCGCCATTGGATTTCTCACCCCCAAAATAGGGTAAAAAACTACATCACAACCCCTCATACATCCCAGAACACGTATTTTATACCCACTCCCCAGATCCATATACCCCCACCCTAAATCGAAAACTATAGATGATGGAGGGACGGGGTTTGCGCCATTGAATTTCTCGACCCCAAAATAGGGTAAAAAACTACATCACAACCCCTCATACATCCCAGAACACGTATTTTATACCCACTCCCCAGATCCATATACCCCCACCCTAAATCGAAAACTATAGATGATGGAGGGACGGGGTTTGCGCCATTGAATTTCTCGACCCCAAAATAGGGTAAAAAACTACATCACAACCCCTCATACATCCCAGAACACGTATTTTATACCCACTCCCCAGATCCATTTACCCCCACCCTAAGTCGAAAACTATAGATGATGGAGGGACGGGGTTTGCGCCATTGAATTTCTCGACCCCAAAATAGGGTAAAAAACTACATCACAACCCCTCATACATCCCAGAACACGTATTTTATACCCACTCCCCAGATCCATATACCCCCACCCTAAATCGAAAACTATAGATGATGGAGGGACGGGGTTTGCGATATTGAACTTCTCACCCCGCAAAAAGGGGGTATCCATGGTTTTGTACTGCTTTATAGACAAAATTTCGAAAGCTATATACATTAAGCAAATGGGGGGGGGTTCGCCCCCTTACAGGTCAAGGAGGGCAATATAACTGTTGTAAAGGGTGTATTTGTATTTAGGAAAACATAACAAATCAATATAATAGGGAAGAAAAAATATTTTGGCTGGGGGGGGAATTCCCCCCCTCTTAAGTAGGAAGGGGGGGTGGTTAGGTCGTCGGCGATGGTTCCATTGGATTTCTCACCCCAAAAATAGGGGATATTTATTATTTTTGTACTGATTTACCGACATATTCTCCAAAATTATATATATTTAGTCAAAGGGGGGGGAGGGTCTTGCCCTTACAGTACAAGGGGGCAGTATAAGTGTTAAAATGAGTTTATTTGTATGGAGGATAATATAATAAATAAATACACATGAAAACAAATATATTTTATTCAAAGAATATCCATCTACCCCTTGTAATTAGAAAGGGGGGGCTCGTAGGGGGACGGCGATGGTCCCATCGAATTCCTCGCCCCAAAAATAGTAGGGCTACATGGTTTATACAGCTGTAGGTACAAACTGGAGAAAATCCCTGAAAGGGATCAAAAGTTTGAAAAAATTTCCCCGAATAGGGATAAATCTCGCTTAAAAAATCCCACTCCCCAGAGCCATACACCTACCCTGAGTTTGTTAATGCTACGCAGCAAGATCCTAGCCTAAAACTTGTCTGTAAGTACATTCAAGGTACGTGGCCTAGTGTTAAGAAAGATGTACCGTACCTGAACATGTTAGAGTATATTTTGATAAACGCTATGACTTGTATGTATATAATAATCTAGTATTTTTGAATTATAAATTAGTACCGTAGTTCCACATAGCCTAAGAAAGGCCATGCTAGAGTTATTACATGAAAACCATTTGGGTTGTGAGAAAACAAAATCTAGAGCCCGGCAGTTGCTGTATTGGCCAGGAATGGCCGGTGATATTGATAGGCTAGTTCTAAGATGTAATATGTATTTGTCAAAGGTACATGAATGCAAATGCTAAAGAACCCTTAAGATCACATGAAATCCCTGATTTACCATACAATAAAATTGGTATGGATATTGCTGAGTATGGGGGTAAAATCTATCTTAGAGTGGTAGACTACTTCAGTAAATGGTTAGATTGTTTACCGCTAACATCTAAAACTAGTACAGATGTGATACGGGAACTGAAAAAATTGTTTGCAATTCATGGTAAGTATTCCCTCTAAAGTAATTGCTGATAATAATCCGTTTGGGTCTTATCAATTCAAAACTTTTGCAGCTGAATGGAATTTTGAGATTGTCAATACAAGCCCCTTATACCCTAGATCGAATGGCCAAGTCGAGAGAATGATCCAAACTTTTAAGAAAATTCTCAAGAAATGTTGTGATGATAACACGGATATCAATTTAGACTTGCTTGAGTTCCGTAACACACCTGTAGTAGGTAACTTATCTCCGGCTCAATTACTAATGAGTCGTAGGCTACGAAGTAGAGTCCCAGTGTCTGCTAACTTGTTAAAACCGCAAGTACATGATACTAGTCTAGTAAGTAGGCTTCTTTCTAAACATCAGGAATTGTCTGCTAAATATTATACGACAGAAGTACTCGTCCTGGACGGTACTTTAAACCACAAGACAAAGTATATGTTTACAATGTTCACTCAAGGATTTGGGAACCTGGTCTTGTAGTAGGCTATACAGCTAACGTAAGGTCATATGTTGTAAAACTATTTCGAAGTGGAAGAGTTGTTACGCGTAATACATTTCATCTCAGGTTAAGACCTTCAGATGGTCAAAGTAATTGGTATAGTGACAATCATGACCAATCAATTGTCTGTGTTGAATCACCAATTAGGAATAGGCATTCCACTCCAATGTCCAGTAAAAGTGTGTCACAGCAACACGAAGAGTCAATCGTAAATAGTCCAATTGAACAAATGCCATCAATGAATGGAGATGTTGAAAATACAACTGATGAACCTACTTCCAGGTACGGTAGACCTCTTAGGAAACCCATTAGGTAATCAAATGTAATCAAATGTTTTGTTTTGTAAATGTAGCCTACTCAAATTTTAAACTTTTTCACTGATGTTAAGTAGCCTAACTGTTTTTATCCCTTGATCTGTAGGGAAAATCTTAGATCTACTTGGAGATGAGATGTTGTTTACTTTGTGTTTTATTTCATGCATAGCAGTTACTATTCTTTTGTGTACAATTTCATTTTACATCATGCGGAGCCAGTTAAGATGAAGAGACAATAACTAATAGCTGACATGTGTACTAAACAGTTGTGAGAAAATTCGAATAGGCCCTAATATCAATTTAAAATTGTATAAGAACCTCAGTAAAATTGTGTTGGTTAGTTGTTAGACAAACATGAAATTATTTTTAAGTAATAATAACTAGGTGGCGTTCGCAGAGGCATCCACAAAATTGAGCGGAGTCATCAAGGGTTCTTATTATATTGTTTTTGTCATACTGCAGTAAAAACAGTCGTTTTTAATGCATGCGTTGCGGGTCTAAAGTAGCATTTTTACTCTTTAGGGAGTAAAAATCGTTGACAACTCAGTTATAAATTTCTATTGTAAACGGTTGCATGTATCGAAATATGTATCGATTCGTGCTTAGTAATCATTTTAACCTACAGTCTACAGTCTCTTACCCTAGTATTTTAGCATTGCAGATACATTAATCCATTCCCACACTCAACACTGCTCACCTTTACTACTTCCTTCACCACCCCCTACGTCGTGGACCTGTTTCCTTCTCTTCCCATAGCATTTTTTAGGATTGCAGATACATTAATTTAATGTAAAAGACAGTTCCTACACTCTGCACTGCAAGTCTTACTACTTCCTTCACCATTTCCTATGTTATCGACCTGTTTCCTTCCCTTCTCATAGCATTTAAGTATTAGATACATTTATCTAACTGCCCAAACGGTTCCCCCACTCTGCACTGCCAGACTTTACTACTGCCTTCACCACTTCCTACGTAATGGGGCCTGTTTCCTTCCCTTCTCATAATATTTTAGGATTGAAGATACATTAATATAACTGCTACAGACGGTTCTCACACTATGCTCATACTTCATACTCATATGTTCATACTTAACTACTTCCTAAGCCACTTACTACATCGTGGACCTGTTTTCATCCTTTCCATAGCATTTTAGTATTTTAGATACGTTAATCTAATTGCCACAAACATTGCCCACACTCCGCACTGCTAGCCTTTACTACTTCTTTCACCATTTTATATGTCGTGGGCATGCTTCCATCCCTTCTCATAGCATTTCAGCATTGCAGATACATTAATCTAACTGCTACAAACGGTTTCCAGTTCCCACACTCCACACTGCTCACCCTATTTCCTTCACCTCTTCTTAGGTCGTGGACCTGTTTCCCTCTCTTCCCATAGAATTTAAAGATTGTAGATACCTTAAGGGGAGACTGTACCTTTTCTGGTTCAATGCTTTTTAAATGGATATTTTCTACAAGTTCAAGTACATATAGCACGAAAACTACTAAACCTATCATACTGATTTTTTGCACACTTAATTATCACATCCATATCTTTATGTTAAACCACTTTTTAAAGAAATATATCAATATAAAAATTATTTTCAATAATTTAAAACATACAAATTTTTATGCGATATTCTCAAAATAAAAATAAATTATTTTTTAAATGAAAATTTATAACCAATCAGTATATGATTGGTTTAATGTACTCACCAAGTACCCAGACTAATGCATGCAAAATTTTAAGTCTCTATGTATTACAGATTTTGAACTATGTGTACCTAAAGATAAAAAAACTAACTTTCGGAAAACACACTTAAAAGCTTTGCAGCACACACTCAAAGCCATAAGAATAGTGTGGCCGAAACCTCGGTAGAGTTAGCTTTGTTTATTTATTGTTATCATAAGAAGCTTTTAAATATACTAAGTATTATATATTTTCTTATCAGGAAGAAACGGAGATTAATTTTAGACGAAAAACAAAAATTTAATTTTTTAAGACAAACAAGGTTCAGTCTCCCCTTAATCTAATCGTCAAAAACAGTTCCAACACTCTGGACAGCTCGCCTTGACTACTTTCTTCACCAATTCCTACATCTCGGACCTGTTTCCCCCCCTTCCCTTAGCATTATTGGATTGCAAATATCTTAATCTATTGGTCATAAACAGATCTCACACTCCGAACAACTCGCCTTTACTACTTCCTTCACCACTTCCTACGTCACGGACCTGTTTCCCTCCCTTTCCATAGCATTTTAGGATTGCAGATACTTTAACCTAATCGTCATAAACAGTTCCCACACTCCGGACATCTCGCCTTTACTACTTCCTTCACCACTTCCGACGTCACGGACCTGTTTCCCTCCCTTTCCATAGCATTTTAGGATTGCAGATACCTTAATCTAAACGTCATAGACAGTTCCCACACTCCAAACAACTCGCCTTCACTACTTCCTTCACCACTTCCTACGTCGCGGGCCCGTTTTCCTCCCTTCCTATAGTATTTTAAGAATGCAGATACCTTAATCTAATTGTCATAAACAGTTTCCACACTCCGGACAGCTCGCCTTGACTACTTCCTTCACCACTTACGTCGCGGACCCGTTTTCCTCGCTTAATTCCCATAGAGTTTTAGGAATGTGTATACCTACATCTAATCGTCATAAACAGTTTCCACACTCCGGACAGCTCGCCTTGACTACTTCCTTCACCACTTACTACGTCGCGGACCCGTTTTCCTCCCTTCCATAGAATTTTAGGAATGTGTATACCTACATCTAATCGTCATAAACAGTTTCCACACTCCGGACAGCTCGCCTTGACTACTTCCTTCACCACTTCCTACGTCGCGGACCCGTTTTCCTCCCCTCCCATATAATTTTAGGAATGTGTATACCTAAATCTAATCGTCATAAACAGTTTCCACACTCCGGACAGCTCGCCTTGACTACTTCCTTCACCACTTCTTACGTCGCGGACCCGTTTTTCCTCCCTTCCCATATCATTTAAGAATGCAGATACCTTAATCTAATTGTCATAAACAGTTTCCACACTCCGGACAGCTAGCCTTGACTACTCCCTTCACCAATTCCTACGTCGCGGACCCGGTTTCCTCCCTTCCCGTAGAATTTTAGCAATGCTGATACCTAAATCTAATCGTCATAAACAGTGTCTACACTCCAGACTGCTCACCTTTATTACTTCCTTCACCCATACCACTTCCTACCTCACGGAACTCAAGCTAGTGTCGTCATTTGATTATATTTATGATCCATACCGTTTCTGTTCTAATATCTGTGAATTAATGCTATCAGCTATTTCTTTATCTACTGCATTCAAAAGTCAACAGCTGATCATATGTTTTTGTTTATGTGTCAAATACTGCTTCCATAAGGATTACATTGAAACTTTGAGACCCAGTGGGGCGGATTCCTGAGAGACTTTTTTAACGCCATATAGATGTTGGCACTCACCGATATGGTCTTTATCACTATGCAAAATTTGAAAACGATTGATTCAGCCGTCTAGGAGGAGTTTGCGTATTACGAAATGCATAAGAGTCGACGTATAAGAGCTTCGCTCGCTTCGCTCGCTCCGCTCAATGAGTTAAAAAGTTGTAATGCTAAGAGTTGTTAGAATTATTCCACACTAAGATGAAATTTTCACATTAAGATGGAAGAAGTAATAAAAAATAAAATGATGTAAACGTAGCAATTCAATAATGTAATAGCCTACATATAAAACTAATTTTAAGATAGGCTGAGAAAATTAAGAATGTTAATTTTGAAATAGTTTTGGTTGTAGCCTAAATTGTAATATTCAGTAAACAAGTGAATTAAAAAGTAGCCTAATGCTGTTGAGCACTTGGCATTCTGTGTGTTTCTAGGAAGTGAGATAGAAAACATGCATTTATAAGAAATAGGCCATAGCAAAGGTACATAAACAAAAGTGTTAAAAAATCATTATTAGTTACACTATCAGCAGAGTTATAGTAAACTTAAATTTAATTTGATTTGTTTCATAACCACTAACTATGTTAATGTTGTTTTGTAATGAGAGTTATTTTGAAGTAAGAAGATAAATGTTTCTTTTGTCAAAGAGGGAAATGTTAGCCTATAAGTACTCATTTCTAATCTAATTGTATTTTATATTTTGTTGTATTGGTACAACTGTAACTATCAGTAGTGGGGGAGCCTCGTCTGTGAGTCTCTTCCTTCTTCACTTTGGTTTTAATAAAGATGGCAGCTTTGAGTTAATTGAAGATGTTTGTTTTATTTAAATAGATATTCACCACAGCCTACTTTAATAATAATAATGACTGAAGAACAATCGCTACAGTATTCACGTCCAGGCTAGTGTTTCTTTCATCTTCATTTACCATTGTGGGACATTCATTTTGCTCCTCAATAGGCCTATTGAGTATTTGCAGTTGCCTTGAGTTGGTTGAGGTGGTGAAATATTGACTGAGCAAACTCTTACCGCACAGAAAAAATCCAGAAGTATAAGCAAATTGTATTTTTTGTTTAAGACGAAGCTGTTGAAAGGCTTGAGGAACAACAAATAGAGGAAGGAGTTCCAGCAAGTGAGAGTAGTGGGTTCACTCAAGTGAGCACAGAACAATTGTTCACCATTACTTCAGGTAATGTTATTACTTAGGTAATGTTATGCGTTGTATTATTCTATACTAATGACTTTATGAGTATTTCTATAAGTAGAATGGCATGAAGACATTTTTTAAAACCAATTCTTGTGTTTTTTTTACAGATAATCTCCAAAAAGCAAGAGCAAAATGCTCCTTGACCTCCAGCCAAAATTTGGTAAAACCAACCACACCTTTGCAATCAACATCAAGAGCGGATTCTTGTGCCAAGACAAGCAGTAAGTAAATTATGCAACATTGTAATTCGCACCATTAACAATTTGTAAATACCAATGTAGTCATGTTTTGATACCCCCAGAGGCCAAAAACACGATCCGTTGAACGGATCCTAGAAACATAAAAATGCACAATTTCAATTGTTATCATCTTGTAGTGCTAAAAAAACAATAAGTAGGCCTGTAGGTTTTTTTATGTTATCATAATAAGCTATTTTTGACATAACATACAATAGTTAAATCTGACATAATTTCGTTTGTGTGGAATTACATTTCCTTCAACTTTTGTAGTAAACTTTTTTTGCCATCTCTTACCATTACGCCATTCTCACTAATTACGTTCAATGTACAATATTAATAATGAGAAAACTCCATCAAAAATAAGAAATATTTTGTTTTTTTATTTTTCCTAATGATTTCTAAGGTTCTCAGGATAAGGATGAGGGGGGTCCGGAAGTTAAGACTTCATGTCAGCTTAATGTAAGTAGATATTGCAGCGCTCATTGACAGCTGTGAGAAAGGGTCGTCGAAACAGGCGAATTTTATTAGAAAATAGTGATCCGTTTCACATCTTCTCAATTCCTGTGTATTAAAATGTATTAATTTATTTCCCAACATTTTTATGGTCAAAATTTTGCAGGAATTTGATTCTTTATCACTGTTGGTAAGCTACATTTGTGCAGTCTTTTATAAAATTATTTTGTCCATGTTCCAGATTTTGAAGAAACATGTATTACAAACCAAAATTTGATGACAAATTATTTAAAGCAAATCCTTGGTGAGTTGTCATCAATGAATGACAAACTGGAAAAAATGTCACAAACACAAGAGATGGACCTGAGGATTGTTCAATCCAACTTGGAGGATAGTCTTCCATTAAAAGACCTGGAGAGTCTTGATACACTAGAGGAGAAACTAGAGGAAAAAAAATGAAGAAGAACTGGTAAGAAACAGATTCATTTCTGTTAGCTACATTTAACTTTTTGGCTTGTTGAAGTAGGCCTACTCCAATCTTAGGTTTACATTAGCAGCCACAGAATATTCTATTGGGTTTTAAAATCAGTTTGGTACAGCGATTGCTTTAAAACTTAGACTCTGTACACATGAGAGCGTTGCAACGCGCGTTACGTCTCGAGTTACGAAGGTTCTAATGTGACCGTACACATGTGAGCGTTGTAACGCGCATTTTGGAGTAGAGGGTTTTATGCATTTTTACGTGTACTTCTATATACTAAACCTTATGTTAATTATGATGTTCTCTTCTGTTGATATCCAATACCTAACAATGCTCTCGCAAGGTGCTAGACAGACTTTAACTTAAGTTAAATGTAGCAGTAGATATTAGCCTAGACACCTATTTATTATGAGTATTTTTACCTTTTTTGGTAGCCTAAGGTGTCCAAAATCCTTATCTCCTGCGAGACGCGTTTCGCATTAATTACAATGCATCTTCAGTCGCTGTCATTGTCAGGTCTCAACATTGCCCACAGAAGTGGTTGTCACGATTTACAAAACATATAACACAGTTCACGAAACACATATTTATATACAGTTTTACAACCATGGTCACACACGTACTGTACATCAAGCGAGCGGGAGACGACACGCGATACCGCACAAGGTTGTAGGCCTACTGCTTGTAGGCCTTGTGCGGTATCGCGTGTCGTCTCCCGCTCGCTTGATGTACAGTACGTGTGTGACCATGGTTGTAAAACTGTATATAAATATGTGTTTCGTGAACTGTGTTATATGTTTTGTAAATCGTGACAACCACTTCTGTGGGCAATGTTGAGACCTGACAATGACAGCGACTGAAGATGCATTGTAATTAATGCGAAACGCGTCTCGCAGGAGATAAGGATTTTGGACACCTTAGGCTACCAAAAAAGGTAAAAATACTCATAAATGTAGCAATTAGCATGCTTTAGTATTTTAAAGCTGACGTTCATATCCTCGATTAGGTTACAAAGAAAAAAAACATTCAAGCTAAACTTTCTTGTAAAAAGTGTTCTTAGGGAATTCCCCCCGACACAATTACCCGGGACCGCTTCCTTTATTTCATTTTGATGTCCACAAAGGAAAAAAAACATCATTAATTTAATATGTTATAGTTAAAATATTAAATTAAGCTGCAACGAGGGTATTTTGATTTTGTTTTTTTCTGTATATCCATAGTACAACTCCCTTACAAAAAAGTAAAAACTACCTTTACGCCACACTACATTATTTTGACGAACTTCCCACGCAAGGATTTAGTCCAGAAAACAGCTGTTTGCCGCCAGCTTATTCAAATGGGGTTTCATTGCGTACTACTGTGCTGCAATGAGTTTTGCCGGACACTAATCAGCTGATTATACTGTATTTAGGTGGCAGTGAGTGGTTATAAACAAAAACATAACCTCTCTTAGAGGTTATGACTAGTGATTTTTAGTCCTTTAGTTGGTGGTAATATATAAGGATTTGTACGGATTTAGTAGTATGGCGTAAACTATCGTACGTAACTTGTCCAAAATGTGTGTACCGGACTCATATGGTAATCCCGTACTCGACTTCGTCTCGCACGGGAACGACCACACTCGTCCGGTAAACACTTTTTTTCAGGACTAGTAACGTAATATACTATTTCGATTTTGTATGTACTATTATAGGGTTTTTGTGTATTATCATAGGGTTATTAAATGCTTATAAAGTTCCTTATAAAATATCATGTTTCTTCTCTAAAACACAGGATGTTTTATACAAGTTATTTCATTTATAGCCCTTCCTTAAGAGAAGGTAGGATTGCCTAGTTGGCTACTAAACTCCTTAAACGTTAATGTAATACCCATCCTCTTATTTTATTTCAGATTCATCTCCTTGCACGTGCTGGAGGATCATCGACAGCTGATGCCTGTAGGAGGGCCCTGCGAACAGTGATGGCAGATGAAGTTGCCTGTCTATTTAGCTGGGCAGGGCAGAAAGGGAAGAGAGCATTTAGCTCTCTCCGAATGAAGACAGCAGTTTTCAGTAAGTTTTCATAATAGGTAACTAGTGAGAGCCCAAGGGTGCAAGTTAAGTTATGTCATACTAGCTGATTGTTTATACAGAGTGTCGACAAGTCGGGAAATAGGTGGGATTATTGTCAGGAAAAGGCCTGCATTTACGTCAGCGGTCGCAAACATATATTCATGTTCTATTTCTTATTTAGATAAAAATTAAAAGATCAAAAGAAACTAAACTGTTTTTAATCAAGACACAAATACAAGACAATATTATTAAAGAAAGTAAATAAAAACATATGGTTAAATAATAATTAAATAACCATAGAGGTTGAACATCTTTCCCTTTGAGTTTTTTTTTCTCAAAGTTTATTCAGGAAATCGTTTGGTTGGTCTTATAATTCTGCCTCTTGATGATTTTTTAATTGCAGCTTCTTGATTGGGAATTGTTGATCGTGAAAAAGATTTACTGTAATCTTGGGGTGTTCTAGATGGAGTAGTAGAAGCTTTTTCAGTAGTATTTGATAGGGACGAGTTGGTTTGAGTAACAGTAGTAAATGGCAGAGTATCTGGCATTGTATCTTTAATGGATAAAGGAATAGGATTGTTCGGTTTCGCTCAGAGTACGTGAAATATAAGAAATAGGTTTCCAATTTCCATCTGTTTGTTGTTGTAAAAGTACTCCACCCAAGCCTTGTGTTGAAGAGTCAGCAGAAATCATAGTTGGTTTATCCTTGTCATAGAATGCTAGTTGAGGTGGAGATGCCAATAATTCTTTAAGTTCATTGAATGCTTTCTGTTGTTCAAACCCCCAACACCATTCGTTTTTTCTACTTAGAAGGTCGGTAATGGGTTTTAGTAATCTACTTTTGTTAGGTATGTATTTGCCAATAAAGTTAACCATGCCAAGTAACCTTTGTACACCCAAAATATCTGTTGGAGGTGCCATTTTTCTTACAGCTTCGACTTTCGTCTCATCGACTTTGATTCCTGATTCGGATAGATGGTGATCTAAGTAGGTTAAGGATGTTTGAGAGAACAAACATTTGTCTCTGTTTAAGGTGAAGCCTGCACGTTCAAGTTTGGTAAGTACTTCTTCTAAGAAATAGTCATGTTCTTGTTGAGTTTTCCCCCAAACAATTATATCGTCCATGTGCGCAAGTACATTCATTTGACCTTTAAGGGTTCGATTCACGCATTCCTGGAATACTTCTGGTGCAGATGTTATTCCAAAGGGTAGTTTCAGAAATTTAAAGCGTCCAAACAGTGTCAGAAACGTTGTCAAATCTTGGGATTCTTCGTCCAATGTGATCTGCCAGAATCCATTATTAGCATCCAATTTAGAGTAGCATTTTGCTTCTGAGATTTGGGCAAGTGTTATGTCGATGGGTTGAATAGGATAGTATCTTCGTTTGACGCATCTGTTTAATTTAGTAAGATCCACACAGATGCGAACTTTGTTAGAGTCCTTCTTTGGCACAACAACCATTGGAGAGCACCAGTCTGTGGCATGGTGTACCTCAGCAATCACCCCCATTGACACCATTCTTTCAAGCTCTTCTTTAGTAGATTCCCAAAGAGGAAGAGGAATCCGACGAGGTGTGTTGATTGCAAATGGATTGGCGTTATTTTTCAGTTCTACTTTGTATTTAACATCAATAGAACCTAAGCCTTCGAACAATTTAGGGTGTCTGTTATACCAGTCATTACAGGATGGCTGTATTTCATTGATTCGAGCAAGTAACTGCAAATCTTTTATTGCAGGTTTACCTAGAAGGGGTTGGGAAGTGCCCTTTGAAACAAATATAGTCTCATAACATGTTTTGTGATTATGGGATAGTTTGACTGTAGCAGTTCCCAAAATTGACAAAGCTTGACCATTTGCGCCGCTAAATGTTTTGGATGTGGGATTCAGTTTGATTTTCTTGTTCAATTTAATGTCGGAAGGCAAAATCGTTACGTCTGCTCCTATATCAATTTTGAAAAGAACATCATCACTGTCGTTCATATTTAACACTACAGACCAAGGATCATCACGTACGGTTTTGTCAACAGAGCCAATTTGAGGGTCTATGTACTGAGAGCAAACATTTTCGGTGGGGTTTTCAAGGGGAGAATCATCATATTCAATTTGACTGACTTTGTTTGATTTGCAAACATTTGGGAAATGACCGACTTTTTTTACAAAACCCACATTTGTATTGTTTAGCTGGACAGTTGAATCTTTTGTGTAAAACTGTCGAGCCACACCAAAAACATCTCTTTTTGACATTGGACAGGCTTTTATTGTCATTAATTGGCTTAAAGTATCGATTATTTTTTGATTTATCAGGAGAAATGTTTGATTTACTTAAATGTTGAGTGCTTTTGTTTATTAATGCTACGTCAGCCAAGTTTAGTGTTTGTTTCTGTCTTGTTAGTTCTTCAGATCTACGGATAGTGTTAATAGCTGTGTTAAGTTTTAATTCGGGTTCAAGTTGAATACGATCACTTAGTGATTCGTCCTGCATACCAATAATCAAAACCATCAGAATCATCTCCTCTTCAATCTGACCCCAATCACAGTTTTTTGCATGATTATGAAGGTCTGTGATAAAGTTCTCAATCGGCATGGAACCCTGTTTAAGTTTTAGAAACCTAGCCCATTCAAAAATTAGGTTCTTTTGTTGTTCTTCTTTAGAACAACTTTGTAATTAGATTTGTCATTGTCATTTAACCTGAATGAGTTAAGTATATCCTCTCCCTTTTCCCCCATACAGTATATAAGCATGTCAATCTGATGCTTACCAGAATGTAGAGCTAAATTGTTAAGGGAATAATACCTCTCAAAGCGAGTCTTCCATGTCTTCCAGTCGTGAGGATTGAAGGAAAAGGCTTCAGGAGGCTTAATGTTCAGGGATACGGGTTCTTCATTCGACTGCGCCATGTTCTATTTCTTATTTAGATAAAAAATACAAGACAATATTATTAAAGAAAGTAAATAAAAACATATGGTTAAATAATAATTAAATAACCATAGAGGTTGAACAATTCACCTTTGCTTAGTAAACTTAACTTATGTCAACTCAGCTCACATTGACAATGATTGCAACTTTGCCAACTTTCTTTACATGTTGGCAATATTAAGTTCTTCATAAAAACCAGGTTTATACAGGCCTCATGGCAGAGAAAAACTTAAAAGCTGTACAGTTTCTACAAGCAACAAGATTACCTTTGTTATTTTAATGTTCTCTATCAGTAACATTTAAGACAAATAATCTGTTAATATTACAAGGTATATTCAGGTTTTTTAGCCTTTAAATAAACTTTTAATCATAATAGTGTTTTAAAAATTTGTCTGTTTGTTTCTGATTAGGAGCTGTGCAGAAACAGTTTGCAGACTCAAAGAATAAAGACATCGAAAGAGCAGTACAAGATTGGCTCAAGCCATCAAAAAATCGCCTCCTCAGCAAGGAGAAATCTCGGTAGGCCTAGTTGTACAAAATGTTGTATTTACCTATGGCCTAAATTAAGACAGAGAGACTGCATTATGTATTCAGGGTTGTCAAGCAACTGTAAAACCTTACAGCTAATGAGTTTTGACATAACCTAAAATAAGCCGTGATTTTGCTTTAAAACCTTAAACATCTTTTTTACCCTAAACAATCTAAAACTCACTTTATACAAATATATAGTGATATTTATCGATCTTCAAACCAATTTATTATTATTTTTATTATCTCCCTGCTAGTGTGCAGTATACAATGCTACTTACTCCTAATTACTGTGATTACCCAATACGACGTCATTTGTGATGTCTAAGAATTTCACTGCACACTATGAGCTTGAGATAGACAGTAAAAAGGGCGGGAGAGAGAAAAAAGGGAAGATCAAGAGCTAAAACAAAATAACAAATTTGTCTTGTTTATTAATATTAATAGTAAATAAAAACTCAATCAGCTAAATAGGAATTTGCTTTGTCTGCATGTTTGCTGGGGTGTGGGTATTTGATATTTAATCAAATAACAGCTTTATCTTGGTGTTTTATGGTCTTGTGGCTTACAAAGTTTCATGTGTCATATTAAATTAATATATTAATGACATTCGATTAATATCAGTTAATAATTTTCTTCCTTACTAGAAGTAAAGTTTTTGATGGTTTTTTGTTGATGAATATTCTGTTACTAGTTAAAAATTGATGTTACACCCATACTTCTCCCAGCAAGGAGTGAGCTATCAATTTTGTTAAAAAAAGGTTTTTTTTTAATAGAAAGAAACCTCCTCAGTGTTTTAGCGACATGAATTGTTATGGAACTGCACATAGAAAGGCTAACATAGTAATTAATTGTTAATGTTGCCAATTCTGAAGTGCCATAATCATGTTCTATATAAAATCAACAAGAACTTTTAGGTAAAATTCTTAAAATTATTTAGTGTGAATAAAACATTTGTAACAATTACATATTAACACGTTAGCTGCTACGGACGTTCTAGAATGTCAGCGGGGCTACGGCGCCAGGAGCTAGGAACGTTTTGGAATGACACTGTTCATTGTTGTTTAACGTTTCCATGGATCAGCCCCAGCCGCTTGTTGCAAGCACCCTATATTTCTTTGCAGCTCGTGGGGACGTACTTTTCTGACAATACAAAACATAGTTTCCCAAAATCACCTCATCATCAGGGTCCTTTAGAACAGGGCTTTGTCCCTCCTCTTTCCTGCTATCTAGCAAACACTACTGTACCAACTGCAACCTGGTTAGTGCTGCTATCTATCAGAATCACTTAGTACTATGTCCAAAGCCAGTTTTATTGCAGAAAATTGCCATCCAGTATAACTGCTGTTGTTTTTACTGTAATTCAGTGTTTTGGCGGCAATTTTACGCAGCGGCGAGCGTTTAGTTCAGCTCCTGGCATCTAGCGATCAGCAGCGAACAAGTTAGTACAATTATTGTAATGATAATAAACTTGTTGTGATACATGATGTCAATTAATTGTTTTTTTTACAGAAAAAGGAGGCATGATCAAGAACAACAAATGGCAAATCCTGAACGTGAAGACAAACGTGGCCCACAATAAAAATGATTTTTTCTTTTGAATTCATTGCTTTATTCTAAATATACTTTAGCCTCGTTTAATGTAAAGATTGCATTTGTATTTTTAAAATTTATTAACTGTTGTTTATTATGAATTAGAGTATTTATTATTAAGAGGTGTTGGCCCGTCCTACGTACGGGAATTCAGTAGTCAGTTAAAACCGTGTTCAATTCACATCAGCTAGTTTACACATATAAAGACAAAGTTTCTTGCAGTTTTAATGTGAAAAATCATCTTGTAAACAGGGCCCTACCCTGTTTATACTGTATATAAATGACTTACCTTGTAATATTAATGACTTATCTGTAAAAAGCTTTCTTTTTGCTGATGACTTGGCCTTGTGTGTACGGGGTAACTCTTTGAATGATGTTACAGACACATTGGACACAAAATCTGCTGTTATTAACGACTGGTGTAATGCAAACAAGTTATGTCTTAATGCTGATAAGACTCAGGACCTGACTATTAGTCTAAGCAGTAATGGTAATGATGTAAACACTCTGAAGTTTTTGGGTTTTCATTTGCAGTCAAACTTGAAGTGGTTTTCACATGTAGATTTTGTAGCATCTAAAATTGTAAAAGGCATATTTATGATAAGAGCACTTAGGTCCATTGTTTCAGATGATGTCCTTATTTGTATATATTATGGCCACATTCATAGCTATTTGTCCTATGGTATCTCACTGTGGGCCAACAGTTTTTATGCTAACAGGCTGCTTTTTACTTTACAAAAGAAGGCGGTGAGGTTAATTTGTAGTGTGAATAGAAGAACACATTGTAAGCCCCTTTTCGTGAGTCTTAACATTCTCTCATTTCCATCCTTGTATGTTTTGGCATGTTTGTTGTATGTAAAAGAAAACATTTCTCACTTTGAAAAGATATCTGATGTTCACAACTATTGTACTAGATCTAAAGATAATCTGTCTACACTAAGGCATAAGTATACAGCCACTCAAAATAGTTTTGAGTACCAAGGTGTTAAAATGTACAATTTCTTGCCTGCATCCATCAAAAACCTGTGTGTTTCAAAATTTAAACATGTTTTAAAAACTACTCTAACCCAGGCTTGCCTGTATAAACATGAAGAGTACTTTGGTTTAGAGTTTTAGTTTTAGTTGCCATCTTGATTGTTTTCTTTTTCTTTTGACGATTGTCATGAACTTTGCACTCAGTTTTAACGACAATAAAGCATTTCATTTCATTTCATTTCATTACAGTATTATAAGACATCAAATGTGCAATATGGACAAATACAAAATAATAAATCAAAACAGACATATAGATATAGACACTGAAAAAACAGCTACAAGTACAAAATCACTATCTAATTAAGTTAAAATCTTAATGTACTAATATCACAGGCCAAAAATTCGTTAACAGAATAAAAAACATTTTCTTTTAACCACTTTGACAGAGTTATTTTGAATCTGCTTATGTTCACAGTCCAGGCTTCTTTTGGCAGCTTGTTAAAAAGCTTGACTTTCATAAACAAATGGCTTTTTTTAGATTTTTCTAGTTTTATAGATATGCAATCAAGTAAATAGTTCCGTCTAGTATTATATTGTGAAATTCACTTCTAAAACTATAGCTATTTAAGTTTCCCTTAACACTAACTAAGCTAAAATATACATACAAAACACGGAAGAGTCATTATTTGGAATTCTTTAAAATGTGGAACACATGACTCTCCGTCAGGAATGGTTTGCCATTATCCTAATTCCTTTTTTTTGCCATATAAATGCTTTTTCAGAGTCTGAGCTATTACCCCAAAGTGTTATTCCATACATTAAATGGGAATTAAAAAAAGCATAGTAAGCTGTAACTAACATTGAGGAACTAACACAATTTTTTAATTTTCTAAGTAAACAAGTAACTCTAGATAGTTTTCTACACAGCTGATTTATTTGGGATTTCCAGTCAAGTCTGCTATCTAGGTATAATCCTAATAGTTTTACTGGTTTAATGCCTTCATTTAAGATTTATTTAAAGAGAATACAATGTTTTCTGTTTTACTATTATTAACAAGTAACCCATTAACTTTAAACCATTCCTCAGCTGCTATCATTGAATTATTTTCTTCAATTAATAAACCATTTAAATCATTGCTTTGATTCAGAAGAGTGGTGTCATCGGCATATAATACTGCTTTACATGGCATATTGTAGGCAAAATCATTTACTGCAACTATAAATAGGAAAGGGCCCAATACCGATCCTTGAGGGACCCCTACCTGAATTGTTTTGAAATCAGAATGTTCTTGATCTTTTACAACCATTTGCTTTCTGTTACTTAAGTAAGAAGATATCAACTGTAGTTCAGAGTTCCTTATTCCATAACTACACAATTTACTTACAATTAATTCATGGGAGATTGTGTCAAAAGCTTTTGTGAGATCTATTAAAGTTGCAGATGATAAATATTTATTTTCAAAGTTTTCCAAGACATTCTCTACTATTGTTTCTATGGCTTTGGTTGTGTTCAAGTTTTTAAGGAACCCAAATTGATCTTTACATAGCAAACCATTACTACCAAAAAATAAACTAAGTTGGTCCTTCACACAACTTTCAAAAACCTTACTAAATATAGGTATTAGAGAGATTGGCCGATAACTAGATGGATGTGATCTCTCCCCTTTTTTATAAACTGGAACTATTTTTGTAACTTTTAATGCCTGAGGAAATACACCATAGCTGAGAAGGCTAGGGCGTGTGTCACTTGGTCAGTGGCATTCGTCTGCTCGGGTTCGAATCCCGTCCTGTGTGGCAAATAATTGGTGACCTGTGTGTTTGTAGCGATATACTATAACGACTGGGGCATAGTGAGGTGTTCATAATCCTTGGTTTAGACATACACGTCGAAATCATCGGATTGGGCGAATCTTTTAGCTAAGTGGTTGGTAGTGTATCCTATGAACATGCAGGTCACCAATGGCCGTTTTGCTATTTTTTTTTAAATAACCTTCCTCTCTATATCCCTTAGGGTTTTTTTAATTGAGATTGATTGAGAGTGGTCACCAATGGTCGTTTTGCTATTTTTTTAAAATAACCTTCCTCTCTATATCCCTTAGGTTTTTTTAAATACAACCATATATTGTTTCATAAATGTGAATTCCACGTGAAAAATATAAGAAAAAGGTGAAAATTTGGTAAAAAAATAGTGAATTTCAGGTAAAAATATCGAAAATGTGAAAATAAGGTGACAAAAAAATTTTAGTGAACGTGGCCTCCCATCTTGCCACCCGATTGATTGAGAGTGGTCCATCCAGGACTCATGTCCGTGATAAAAAGCTCTTTCTGGACCCAAGCCGTCACTCTGCAGGTTGGTGGCCGTGTAAAGGGTGACGAGGGTCTTTCTCTTTTCTGCGTCGGCAGCGACATCACGTCGGATTGAT